AAAAACAAGTCGATTAGTCGGCGGTACATACCTCTTTTTATCAAATTATTAATATCCAGCTAAAACATCGTCAATAACCTCATCTTATGGTAACCTAAAACTTTTTTCCATCTACGAAAAGTCTCAGAGAAATCAAAATCTCCTGGGCACTGCAAAATGAGCTTGACTGGAAAAAAGTTACAATGCCGCCGAATTACAGATAGTGAGAGACAGAAAATAGATTTCATTAATTGGAAAATCAATAACAAAACTAGAACTCCTAGTTTCATTTTTTAAAACGAATCTTCGAAACCGCAAGAAGCTCTGAAACGAATTGATCTACATATCTGCAGGTTACCTAGGAGTTACCAAACATTCGTGAATCAAACTATGCCCATTTGAAGTTGAGTGCGTTAAAAACGAAACTTTCATAGACTACTCTAAACTGGGAAGCATGCACTCCGTACGAGCCGATCCTACAGAAAGATACAAAAAAAGTGAATAATCCATTTGATCAAAAACACACTTTCCAGTCAATTTTTATTTTACAAATTTTCATTTGAAGTATCGTTTATCTACAATTTGGATTTTTCTCCCTGTCATTCTTTGGTCATTATTAACAAAGGTATGGCTAGTGTTGCCCAAATGCGAGAAAGAGACGAGTCTTGGTCTTTCAAACTCAGTCTTGGTAATGGTCTTGATCTTGCGCAAGAATCTCGCAACCGTCTTGCAGTTACTTATTAGCTTATTGCTATAGAAGACATGACTGTAATTTTTTAGATAGGAGAAACCTAACTAAGCCCGAATGAAATATTAGAGGAGTTAAATGCAAAAGTATATTGGTTATACTAATTATTAACATATAGTAACTAAGATTGTCAAGTATTAGTAACTATTTTGCCGTAATTTTTATTCCCAAAACAATTTTTTCTACCAGTTCTGGTCTTGGTCTCGCAACAATCAGGCGGCCTTGGTCTTGGTCTTGCAAATGGCAAGACCAAGATCGATTTTGGGCAACACTGGGTATAGGTGTTACCACAGGCGAATCTACGGGAGAGGGGGAGTGAGATCTCTCGGGCTGAAGCCCCACAAAATGGAAAAACGTAATTTTATTTTATGAAAAGAAATATAATAAAATTGTCTCTTAAAGTATTATTTGATGAGAAGGAATTGGTCGGAGGGCGCGTATTAAAATATTATTGTTCGTGTAATTACATTTGATTGGACTTAAAGAATCACTTAAACGCTATTTCATATAGGTAGTTGGTTTCTTTCTTTTTTTTTCAAGTTAATTATTGTTATATATATAAAAAAAAATCTTTCGGGCTGAAGCCTCACAAAATTATATCTTGGATCCGCTATCGATGAAAGTTAGTAAACACGTATTCTATAGCCTACAAATATATCAATGTAACTTCTGAGAATTAATGGAATATAAATAATGCCTCTATAATAATAAGACAATTTTTTTTTTATTTATTCAGAAATATTACAATCTGTCACAGTTAAGGACAACTAAAAACATTATATAATTTAATTGAAGATTCATGGTCGACTGTAGAGAATAATTGAAGAGAAATGGTTGGGGTGGTCAGTGAAAAAAACAAATTATAAAAATAAATATGACTCCTGACTCCTCTTTCTTCCCTCAACACATTGGCGTACCACAAGGTAGCGTCTTAACGTGGGCGGAGTGGCCGAATAGGCTAACGTGTGTGCACAGCATCGCCGTTGACTTAAAACTTAAACGCCATTTATTTCATATAGGTAGTTAGTTTCTTTCTTTTTTAAAAAAGTAATTATTGTTATGAAAAAAAATCTCTCGGGCTGAAACCCTCCCAAAATTAAATACTAGATCAGCTAGTGGATGTTACTGCCATATAAAATGTGATTGATTTTACCTAACTAATACCTATTTTTCAAAGTAACTAAAAAGCTTTAAGTTAGAATTAATGGTTCTAAAAGATTATTTGGCATAAATTATATTAAAAAAGTTACATAGAGTATTACATCTTCGTCTTAGGGCAGCAAAAAAAAAAAAAAAAAAAAAAAAAAAAAGTTTTTTCGTCTCCTGAAAATTTTTAGCTTTTGTTCTTACAGACTTCTGCAGCATGGCTGTCGATATGTTTTACATATAGTTAGTTGGATAGAATTGGTTTCTTGAAAATAATCTTTAGATTGGTCTGAAGCTTGCGGTGTTGCGCACTGCAGCGCTCCAAGCGCGCACGAAGTTGGCATTTCTCGTGGTCCATCCTTTCTCCTCTTTGTTACGACATTTAACCGCCGCTTTTCAAACCTCTTTGTCCGCTCCGACCGCACTCTACGACCACTGTCGCTTTCGGCATTAGCAGCTCCTTTTAAGGCATGAAGGACCACTCAGGTGAAAACTGTGGTCAGTGTTTGTTCCTGCTTTTGTGGGTCAGCAATAACTCGATAATAAAGCTTATTCAGTATCGATTAGTGATTGTTTAGAGTTATAAAATGAGGAAATTACATAGTTGTTGAATGAATCTCTAAAAACGCTGTCGTAAAAAACTTTATCATGTTCTAATGGTTTTAGTATGTGGTACAGACGTTTTTAAGAAATTATTAACATCCGCCTATAACTTCGTGAATAACTTCATCTCATCGTAACCTACAAAAATGTTCTTACGAAAACTCCTGGAATTGGGGATCTGGAGATCGACAAAATTTGTCTATTTAATTTGTTAATAAAAACTCGTATACCTATTTGCTTTCCACTTGGATCTCAAAATAATTTGATCACCAAATCGATAAAAAAAATGGCCTACAAAATTATTGGGCCGTTTGGTCTTTACAACTTCGTTATTTTTTAAGGCCACCTTTTTTCTCGACTTTGTGCTCAAGTTATCTTAGTTTTGTTAATCACGTATCAAGAGGGCGGGGTAGCCGAATGGGCTAACGCGTGCGCACAGCACCGCCGTTGCCCGGCAACCTGATATAACAATCAAATGATATAAAAATAATCACGAGTTAACGTCCCGGTGCCCAGAGAGTCTTTTAAATCCCCGCGCACACTCCCTGGCCCTGGAAAACCCCGTATAGCCTTAACGGCGAGGAAGGGGAGGACAAAAGTCACATACCAAAATGCTTTTGTTATGAGTCGCAATAATTTTGATTGAAAGGTTTCAAGTTTTTGTAGGTTAGTATTTTTAGCGATACCGTATATTTCTGATGAGTACCTCCATATGGGTTTAAGTGAGTATGTATATATATCCAGTTTCAGCTTTGAAGAATTAGAAAAAAGAGAGTAAAGTAGTTTGTTAAGTGTCTTACGTTTCATTTTTACATGCGGGTACCATGTCATCGTTCTGTTGAAGGTCAAGGTAAAGTACCATGTCCGTTTGGAGAATTCGATTGTTGTCAATATAAACTGGAGGGCAGGTGTTTTTTCGAAGAGTAAATGTTATACGTTTGTGCTTGTTGAAGAGTTTCTGATTTTATTTATTAAGGAAGGAGATGGTCCGGGGTTGCGGTCATAAAAAGGCTAAATAGTGCCAATGTTTCGACCCGACTTTGCAGGTCTTCATCAGGGCTAGAACGGACAAGATACAAAAAGATAGAGAATTGTGGAAATTACATAATATTTAGACATAATTTATAAACAATGTGAATAAGCTTATTAGAATTATAAACAGTAAGTACAATAAAATATGGACTAAGTAAGCTGAGTAACAAGATCCTAAAATAAAGTAAATAGATGCTAACAATTGTTGTAGTGTAATATATAACAAATGAAAATGTGAGTATAATTCTACAAAATCTACAGGAGAAAAAAATAAGATTAGAGACTTACAGGTGTGTTCTTCTAGGAGTTTCACTTAGAACTGGAAAGGCAGCGGTAAGGATTACAGGTATAGGGGGAGTTAACATGTGTTAACTAAGTAAACATTGAAAAACCCAGGAATGTACAGTATCTAGGAATTTTTGAAGATATGGATGGATACAATGGAAAAATACTATATCTATAAATATTAAATTATAAATATATAAATATACATATAAAATAGAGTTGAGAGATGTGAGAGGTATTTCTTAGAGGAACACACCTGTAAGTCTCTAATCTTATTTTTTCTCCTGTAGATTTTGTAGAATTATACTCACATTTTCATTTGTTATATATTACACTACAACAATTGTTAGCATCTATTTACTTTATTTTAGGATCTTGTTACTCAGCTTACTTAGTCCATATTGTATTGTACTTACTGTTTATAATTCTAATAAGCTTATTCACATTGTTTATAAATTATGTCTAAATATTATGTAATTTCCACAATTCTCTATCTTTTTGTATCTTGTCCGTTCTAGCCCTGATGAAGACCTGCAAAGTCGGGTCGAAACGTTGGCTTTCAATAAAATAGTTTTACCACTATTTAGCCTTTTTATGACCGCAACCCCGGACCATCTCCTTCCTTTATAATGCAACGGTCAACCATTAAATATTCGATTTTATTTATTTATTGTAGCCATTGAAGTATTTTTTTTCTATTTATCCACGGAGTGTATCAATTTCACTGTGAGTCACTGCAGTTCTAGATGTAGATTTTTATTGAATACTTAATAGTTGACCGTTGACCGAGATGGTCCGGGGTGGCGGTCATGAATAGGCTAAATAGTGGTAAAACTATTTTATTAAAAGCCAACGTTTCGACCCGACTTTGCAGATCTTCAGGTCTTCCTAAACGTTGGCTTTTAATAACGTAGTTTTACCACTATTTAGCCTATTTATGACCGCAACCCCGGACCATCCTCCTTCCTTTGTAGATTTTTATTTATGTAGTTTTAATAAAGTAGTTTTACCACTATTTAGCCTATTTATGACCGCCACCCCGGACCATCCTCCTTCCTTTGCAGATTTTTATTTATGTATCTAAGAATCTATGTAATGAATGATGTATATTCTGTTACTCACTCATTACATCGCTACTACTAGTAGCATTCAGATCGGAACATCGTACCCCCGCTGATCGCGATCGCGAGCGAATCGATGACGAGCATTATCCGGTGAGTGTGTCAAGGGTAGCTTGGTCAGCTGCGATCATTGACCGTAGTGCCTTCCGCCGTTCGTATAGTGCCCCATCTGAGTGCTCCAAACCTGAACTATATCACTAAAATATATATCCACTGGTATATAGATTTATTATAGGATACTTTCCTATGTTTTTATTTATTTTTTTATTTTTATTTAATCATGAGATTTACAACTTTATAAATTAAAAATAGATCCAGCAAATTTGCACACGGTAATAATACAATCACATGAAAATACTTATTGAGAAACTACCCATCTTATAATATGTTTACATAAGTAGGTCACGAGGCCATCTTCTTTTCAGACGCCTTCGAAGGTTATCAAGTATCGAAGAGGAAGCAAGGTTAAAAACGAGAGGATTCGGATAGTTTTGAAGTTTGTTATGGAAGGATAGGTATCTGGATTGGGTTAAAATGGAAACATATGGTACGTTAAGGTCGTTATGAATTATTTTATTTGTGACAAAGTAAGGAGCATTGAGAAATTTACGAAGGGTTTTGGATTGTAAGGATTGGATGCGAGAGGAATTCGATGGTTTAGTGGGGCCCAAAAATTCAATTCCAGATTGGCCGTATTATAGTCATGTATATGATTCTTTTGTAATATATAGAAAGTTTAGAGCGTTTGTCTAGTAAGTGCTGGAGTAGTCGAAAACATCGAGCAGTTTCTTGCCGTTTCAGTCTAATATGAGAATTCCAAGTGAGTCGTTTGTCCAGATGGAGTTCTAGGTATCGGATTTACTCAACAGGAATAAGTGTGGAATTGATAAAGGATACTGTAGGACAGGAAGTTTAGAATTTACGTCGCAGAGTGAAGGTAATTTGATGGGATTTATTTTAATTCTTCAGTTTTGACACCATTCTTAAAGGTTTGTTATCTGTGATTGAAGAGTTTGGGATGCAATTGATGGATCGTTATTAATTGATAGGATACATGTATATTCAGCATATATGGTGATGATAGTGTTAGATTGGGTTGGGATGTCAGCTGTATAAACTATGTAAAGGATAGGATCTAGGATACTATCTTGAACACCGACAGACTGGGAGTAAAGGGATGAATAGGTATTGTTGTGATTTACTTTGAAGTATCCATCAATAAGGTAGGGATAATGCCCATGTTTTTTAAATATTAAAATAAATCCTATCAAATCCCCTTCGCCTTAAACCTATGATTTCCTATCCTACACGAAAAATTTTAATGCGTTTTTTAGTTAATTTAAAAAAAAACTACTACAGAAATTGGAAACTTTTATATACCCTAAGGAAATGTACTTCCTTATATAATGAAACATATTCTTAGTAGATCGGTAGGAAAATCGACTTCTACAAATATTTGAAATTGTAGTGGTCGGGTTCCTTTCACTGCAAATAACGGCTCTAGGCAAATATATTTCGGTGCAAGTCAACATTTGAAAGAGTCTTGAGGTGAGATAGAAATAGTGTTGCCCAAATGCGAGGTCAAGTCTTGGTCTTGGTGTTGGTCTTGCGCAAGAGTTTCGTAACAGTCTTGCAGTTACCTTTTAGGTAATTACTATATTTCTATATCACTGTAATTTTTTTGATGAAGAGGAAACGTAACTAATGAAAAATTGGAAGAGTTAAATGCAATAAAATTTCACCAGATTTCACTCATCATCCTAATCCTGTAGTTTAGTCTCTATTTAGCTGCAGTTATCCCTACAATCCTCCTCGGGGGTTAAAACGGCAGTGACCCCGCCACCTTTTGTAAATATGTATATATTGGAGTACTGGCACTGGCTAGATTCTTCACTCAAGTCCTGAGCGTCTGTTGCTCTAGTGCCCTCCATCAGTCTCCACTGTCTTACAATACTAGTGACGCGACTGGGAGAGAAGCACTGGGATCTCCCGGAGTCCTGCTGTGGCTTCCACAATTGGGAGACAAAGCTTGATTCAGAGTCCCCTTTTAATGTGTTATTTTACTTTATCTTTTTAGTTATATATCTTTATCTTTTTTTTCTTTCTCTTCTTACTTGGTTATTTTTATTTATTTTGCTTTCTTATGTACATATTGTGTGAATGAATACTGTAGCTCTAGTACCAAGTGTGGCAGACTGTATTAATATTCAATAAAAATAAATAAATAAAAAAGTATATTATGGGTGATAAATATTCAGGACGCAGTATTTTAAAAAAAAAATTAATTTTTTATTTATGCCAACGTTTCAACTCAAACATGTATGTCATTTTCAGGGCATGGTTTGAGCACTGAGGGTGTTCAAGTACTCAAAAGTATGTTGTTTATACCAATTCTTTACATGTAGTAACTAAAATTGTCAAGTATTAGTAACTATTTTGCCTTAATTTTTATTCACAAACGCGATTTTTGTAAACCAGTTTTGGACTTGGTCTTGTAACAATCAGGCGGCCTTGGTCTTGGTCTTGCAACAATCAGGCGACCTTGGTCTTGGTCTTGCAAAGTGACCAAAACCTGATAACTATACCAAGTTTAAATATTCTTAGACGCCAATTTCTCGATCAACCTACCGTGATATTTCAGTAGATATGGAATTGCATACATACCCTTAGGATGGATAAAATCTCCCAATTTCTGTAGTCGGTTATTTTATTTTATTTTTTTTAATTTCTTTATTGAGTATTATATATAACAATCTGTCTGTTGGACATTGGTTATAGTGAGGTAGGATGACATTCACACTATATGTACAAAAAAAAAAAATAAATAGAACAAAATAATAATCAAAAGTATATACAATAGACAATATAATAAAATAACCTAAAAAATAAGAAAAAGTCCTAAAAAATAAGAAAAGGTTTTGTTTTTTTTAAATTAAAATATTTTTTATTTTTACATTTTTAGTTTTTAAAATATTAATGATTTATTTTCATAACTTCTTGTCACATGATATCATTTCAAATCAATTAATTAATCGAGATACTAACTATAATAAAATTTTGTTTCTCAATATTTTGATCTCAATTTGTTTCAAAACATTCACGAGATATAACTGAGTAATTGAAGCCGTCAACGTTAAAAATAGACCATTTAATCCGCTCAAAAAATCTTTGCGTACAGTTTAGCCGATTAATTAAACATACTTTACTCAGTAATTTGAGCCATCAAACTTAAAAATCCATCCAGCAGTTCGCTCAAAACAGTATTATCTTTTAGGGGACACTCCGAACACATTACCTTCGTGTCGTTTCGGTTTCTAAGTACTCACGGGACCTGGCCGAATAAAATAATACTGAAATATCGACTCAGCCGTTAGCTCAAAACAGCGTTACAAAGTTTTTTTATTACAAAGCATTTCTAGCTCAAATTGTTTCAAAAGACTCAAGGGATCTCAACGGATATTTTAGCCACCAAACTAAAAAAAATATCCAGCCGCTTCCTCAAAACAGCGGTTCCAAACTTGGATGACTCACTAACGGATCCAGAATTTAATTTTTAATTTTTGGGGGGCTTCAGCCCGAAAACTTTATATATATATACATATATATATTATGGTAATTACTTTGGAAGAAAAATAAAGAAACTAAGTATCTATATGAAATAGTGATTTATTCTTGAAGTCCAATTAAATGTAATCAGACCAACAAAATAATTTTTTTAAATATTTTTTTTTCATAAATCATGATTATATTTTACCATTTTATATACTTCAGGCCGAAAACTCCACCCCTCCCTCCCCCTTCCACCGTAGATCCGCCTGTGGAATGAACCATCACATAACCCTCGTTTCGCTTCGCTTAGTCTGATAAAATAGATCGAATACCTTTGTTTATTAATATTTATATATTTTCGTTCTTCAGCACAAAAACTAGTAGTATTTTAAAATAATCGAACAAATTTTCGGAGAATTCTATGCCACACCTTCGGTAAGAGATGAAGAAGGGAGTAAGTAACTGGATGAAAGAAGCTGCAGAAATGCTGTACATCATTGGTCGGCTTCAGTTGTGGTTTTTCCAGGCTTGGAAGATGTCGGTTGAGGTCATCATCCCTGTATGACAATATTTCTTAGGCTTCTCTGTTTGTAAATACTAAAATGTATTTGTAATTCTTAAATATAGCTTGAGATAACTTTAATAAACTATAAGTTTTTATGTTTATTCAATCTATCCATTTAATTTTATCTCTCATGATGAGCAGTATCAATCCCGTCCAAGGTCGATGGCGCATGCCCCACTCTCAAGAACTTTTGTTGGTTTCCTGTTCTTAAAAACAGTGTGAGGGAAAGTAGAACAAGAAAAATCACACTAAGAAATAAAATGATTATGTAATCTTACCTACAGAATATTGGTAAGAATATCAACTTAATAATCCGTGGTACAGACTCCTTTTATCAAATTATTAACATCTGCCTGAACCTTCGTAAATAGCTTTATCGTAACCTACAACTATTTTATTTATGAAAATTCTCGTGATTGGGTCGTTTTCAATCTGGAGATCGGCAAACCTTGTCAATTTAATTAGGTACTAAAATTTCGTTAATACTCATTTGCTTTCTACTTGAATCTTAAGATACCTAGAGCACAAGGTCGAGAAAAAAGGTGGCCTCCAAAAATATTAAGCCATTTAGCGTGACCTACATCACAAAATACCGAGGTTGCATTGGCTAAAAGGCCCAATAGTTTTCTAGGCCACATTTTTGGTCGATTTTTGACCTGTATACCTGTATAGCCCAAGGCAGCTTTTTCTGGTATTCATCGGGAATTTTCGAACAGACTGCTCTGAGTGATCTTGAAGTAATATTAGAGAAGTTGAATAGAACTAGCATCCAACCGTGCTAATCCCACAATTTCTGTTAAGTTCCATAAAATCAATATTGAAGCACCTCTACCAGTACCTACCTGTACCTCAGTGCTGTTGCGTAAGTCGTTTCATCTGTAATTATTATTATATTTTTTAATTGTCCGAATACCTTTAAACGAGCAGCCCCTATGAAGGGCTGAAACTTAGGCCGAAACTTCTGAACAAAGAAAATGAATATCATTTATTTTTGTGTTATTCCATGAGTACCATTCCCTACCTACTTCTCTTCAACTATTTTATCTTTTATATTGCATTACTATATATTATATGATATCTGAGGATATTATTATTGTTAACGTGGTTTGTTTTGTTCAAGGTACTAGCTCCCGCCTCGACATGAAATTAACCTAAATATCAATTGTTAGCTACAATTACTGCCTTCATTATTTTTCTCATTTCCTCCTTTCGACATGATTCTTTCCATGGTTTCAACATCTCAGTGTATAGCCTTGCAGTTCGTTTCCTAACCTATAGGAAACAAAAAAGGGAAAGGGATTTAGGATTTAGATATGTTTAAATTGCCCTGAAATTATCAGAAGTGTAGAATTGGTTCAATGAAAGTCACAGGCGGATCTATGGGGGGAGACTTTCGGGCTGAAGCCTCCCCCCCAAAATGGTAAAATATGACCATGTCTTATTAACATTAACCATGTCTTAATATAACAAATATTAAAAACTATCAAATTTTCATTTGAAGTGTCGTTTATCTACAATTTGGAAACTGATCTTGTTCCTGTCATGTCCTAATATATCAAATTTGCAAGGTGCTCTGCTGCGCAGGTGCAAATGCCACAATATGTCAAAAATAAATAAATAATAAAATATACATATTTATTTAGATAATTTAATCTTTTATACCCCCCCAAAAAGTGGACATTTTAAAATTATTAGAAATTATAAAAAAAAAATGAAAACGTTTATTTCCTTTTAATTACTACTAGTTGGTGCGTGCAAATAATACACATATTGGTCAATGAACAAATAGCTGTATAATATGGAAATGAATAAAAACAATGTATTATGAAGAGGAGGAATTAATTTTTTCTTGGTCACCAACTTAATGTTCATTAAAATAATAAACTTCTAAGTGAAGCTCCTAGCTGAACACACCTCCCTGAAGAAGACCCGCAAAGTCGGGTCGAAACGTTGGCTTTTAATAAAATAGTTTTGCCACTATTTAGCCTATTTATGACCGCAACCCCGGACCATCTCCTTCCTTTAAGATAATAAACGGATTCATATGTACAAATTACAATTACTTATATCTTTGCTAAAATGCCGATAATTTGTTTTTAGTTTTATAGATAATGTGGTTCATATTATAATGAACATAATCATGAAAATATGTTTATGTATTTTTTGAGTTATATACAAATAAAATTTCTTTTTCTTTGTGTTTTTCTTTTTTTTTTAAAGACTTTTTATCAAATTATAAACACTTGTCTAAAACTTCGTGCGTGGCTTAATTTTTTAGTAACCTAAAACTTTTTATCTACGAAAATTCTTAGAAATAGGATATTTTAATTAGGTACTAAAAACATTTGGTTTTCGTGATCACAAAATCGAGAGAAAAACTGTTAGCTACAAAAAATTAATATTGGGCAGTTTGATTCTAACGTTCATCATCGATAGTCGAAATAACAATGGTTTTTAGACCAAACAGCCCAATATGTTAGTAGGCCACATTTTTCTCATTTTTTTTTGCTGATAAAATTGTCTTACGAATCAAGTCAAGTATAAAGAATTCATTAGTAAAATTACAAATAGGTATAACATAAAAATATGAAAACTAGGTTACTGGTCGATTTAGAAGAGTAAAATATCGCACTTGACGCCTACAGATAAAACGATGATGGTAAAAATTAGCTTATGATTTAAATATCAATTTTGTGGAACCCGAATAATGTTTTATTTTTTATATTGTCTTTACGAAATAATTTTAAGCATACGGTATTAAATGGCACCAGCGGATCCAGGATTAAATTTTGGGGGAGGGAAGCTTCAGCCCGAAAGATTTTTTTTTCATATATGTAATGATAAATAATTTTTTTTTTTTTAAGAAAGAAATTAACTACCTATATGTAATAGTGTTTAAGTAATTTTTGATGTTTTATTAAATGTTATTACACGAACAATAATACTTTAAGCGATAGTTTGTAATAATTTTTTCTATAAAACATAGTTATATTTTACCATTTTGGGAAGGGGATTCAGCCCGAAAGCCCTCTCCTCCCACGTAGATCCGCTTGTGTTTAATGGCAATCTTATACCTTATATAGAATGTAAATAAATAAACGAAAAAACATTAAAAATAAGAGTAGGTCTATAATGGTCTGTCATTGGTCATAACTAATTTTTTTTCTTTAAAAATGGATCAAATTTTTCGGTTATTAGATGCTCATTTATCTCTAACAGAAATAAAAATAAATAATAAGTCTACCATATTAAAGAAGAATAATAAATCCTTTAAGTAAATAAATAAATAAATTAACAAAATTATATTAAAAATCAGAGCAAGTCTATAATAGTGCTCTGTCATTGGTCATAACTAATATTTGTTCTTTAAAAATGGATCAAATATTTCAGTTATTAGATGCTCATTTATCCCTAACAGAAATAAAAATAAATAAGTAGTTAATCAATTAAGGTAAGAATAAGAAATTATTTAAGTAATATAAATAAACAAAATTGTATCTAGGTTCTACGATAACTAGAAAAAACGAAATTGAAGAAGAGATTAAGGTTAGACTGAAGGCGGGAAATGCTTGTTATTTTTCTGTGACAAAACTACTTAGTTCGCGCCTCTTGTCCCGGAACTTAAAAATTAGAATCTATAAAACAATTATGTTGCCTACAGTTCTTTATGGATGCGAAACTTGGCCGCTTACATTAAGGGATGAGCAGCGTCTTAAGGTTTTTGAAAATAAAGTATTGCGTAGAATATTCGGACCGAAGAAGGATGAGTTAAGCGGAGAGTTCAGACGGTTACACAACGCCGAATTGCGTGAGCTGTATCCGGGTAACATAATTGAGGTAATTTCATCGCGGCGAATCAAATGGGCTTGTAAAGTTGTTGGGCTTAGTAACGAGAGAATTCCTAAAAGGTTAATATTTGCTGTACCGAATGGTAAGCGTCCGAGGGGTAGACCGAAGCGAAGGTGGGAAGATTGCATTAAAGCCGATCTGAAGGGACTGGGTTTGGACGGCGAACGGTAGAGGGAGGTGTGTAACAAGCGATTGGTGGTGTCGGCATCGATCCTTCGGGTTCGCTAAGCCTTATTATTATTATTATTATTATTTTTATTATAAATAAACAAAATTATATTAAAAATCAGAGGAAGTCTATAGTTGTCTGTCATTGGTCATAACTAATTTTTTTTCTTTAAAAATGGATCAAATTTTTCGGTTATTTGATGCTCATTTATCTCTAATAGAGATAAAAATAAATAAATAATTAGTTAATCAATTGTAAGAATAATAAATTCTTTAAGTAATATAAATAAACAAAATTATATTAAAAATCAGAATAAAAAACCATATATAGTGGTCAGTGGTCATATCTAACTTCTTTTCTCAAAGATAGATGGATACCAATTTTTTCCACTATTTATTCCAGTAGTTAGCTATTTATTTTTCTTTAATAAAAAATATAATAGTTTTATAAATATATTTATATTATTATTATTATTATATAACTATAAGAAGAATAAAGCGTTATAAATTGATAAATGTCCCAATAGGTATATTGTTAAAGCCATCCAAGGACGATTCCCATGTCTTCGGGGGCGAAGTACCTCATCGACATTTCCAGGAGTATCTTATGTCTGGAAGGAGATATGCCATCCGATATGGAAGGGAATATGGCACTAATGATAGCGCATTGGCTGTTCCATAGATCATATTGCTGTAGCAATCTTATTGTGATCGCTTCGTGTTCACTGCACGTATCAACTGATTCATTTTATCAGTTAAAAAAAAAACATATGTTCTTTGTTGAGATCGAATTGAAAAAGAAAAATATGGTGCTCGCAGCACAAAACTTTCATTTACTACTTTACTTTTTGAATGAATGAATGAAAATAATTTTATTATTCTGGGATCTTTAGTCGCTTTAGAACAAGTTACAAATGCAGAATATATATTAATATTCTGGTGTGTCCATAAAATACAATTTAATATTTACAGGATGATTGGTAATACAATAAAGTTATAGATAATAACAAGTTATAAAATAAATAGAGAAAGTAAATAAGGTAAACAAAATTTTAATGAATCACAAAATAATCAGAATATCTGGGTGTACTTTGAGATCCTTACAGCTTAGGTTTTTAAGTGCATTTCGTGATCAATCGAATTGGGAATGGAGAGGTGTTTGAAGAGGATAGATTTGAAAAAGGATACTGACTTTGCGTGTCGAATGTCTGAGATTGTAGAGTTCCAGAAGGAGACAACTTGTATTAAAATGGATTTGTCAGGAGGTGAGGAGGAGGATAGAGGTCGGACGCACGGTATCTGGTAGGACGGGATTGAAAGGAGTATTTGAATTGTAGGATTTGTAGAATATAGGAAGGGGTGCAGCCTCTATAACATAGGTACATTTCTAGAACTTTTTCAAATAAAAATTAATAATGTTAAAAAGCTGAAAAATATTTTTGATATCTTAGTTAGAATAACCTTAAAATGAAAATAAATATTTTTACAGTCCAACTAGTTATTTAAAAATATCTATAAAAACATTCTCTATAAAATATATTTATACTTATACTTATTAAATATAGTTTTCCAAATTTATAGGTAAAAATTTTATAAGAAAATCACTTGAAAATGGAGGTATATACATGAAAGATGAATGAATCATAAAATCTTAGAAAATGTCTCTATATAATGATCCAGGAATAGAAATGAAAATTTAATTAATAGGAATATTTTGGTCGTGATAAAATAGTTACGTATCTACTTATAGGTCTTAGCTTACCCAGCTGGTCGAATTTTCTTAATCGATATTATTTTACATATTTTATTCATTCATATATCTTATTTGTTATGAATTTTAATTTTTTTGCTTCTTTTTACTTTAAGACTAGTTCTTCTTGTAGCCTTAAGAGGTCGTGGAACGGACTGACCGAGTTTTGGAGCCAATAACGCCCCCTCGGTGGAGAAAGTGGCCGGAAGAATCAGCTGGGAAAGTCTTCTTCAAGGTCAGAGCATCGTCCAATGGCTTGGTCCTAAATAATTTCATCGAACTCCATCCATTACTTCCTCTTCAGATTGCACAAACCTCTAGATATTTATATGGTTAGTTCGAGAGATTAGTGAAAAAATGAAGCATTACCAATTTTATCAAATTATATCTCATAATAAAGCAACATTTTTCCTCGATACGTTTCCTATTTCACATGGCTCAACATTTGAGGAAAATTATAGATTAATTTACAAATACACTTACGATATACTTATTAACGATGAGATCTTGATAGCTACTTATGCAGACGACACAACAATTCTCACAAAACATCAAGACCCTATACAGGCCTCACTAACACTACAACATCACTTACTCAAATTACAAGATTGGTTCACACTATAAAAAATTCGACTTAATCATGACAAATCCAAACATACAACATTTACTCTTCGAAAAAACACCTGCCCTCCAGTTTATATTGATAACAATCAAATTCCTCAAACGGACACGGTACTTCACCTTGGACTCACCTTCGACAGAAGGATGACTTGGGGTCCGCATGTTAAAATGAAACGTAAGATACTTAACAAACGACTACTACTTACTCTTTTTTCTAAATCTTCAAAACTAAAACTAAAACAGAAACTGAATACATATACATACTTACTTAAGCCCATATGGACGTACTCATCACAAATATACGGTATCGCTAAGAAGAACCACTTAAAAAACTTCAAACGTTCCAATCAAAATTATTGTGACTTATAACAAAAGCACCTTGGTACGTGACTAACAGAACTCTACATAGTCACCTCCACTTTCCAACAGTTGACCAACATATAACGACCCTTTATCAAGGATTTTACACAAATTTAAATGGACATAATAAGAGACATGGCCACAGCTGACACATGAGGAGGAGACTAAAATGGCGTTGGATGAGAGATCTCTTTTCTTAGACAACCTAAGTTATAAGAAATATGGCTACAGCTACAGCTCGTTAAGTAATTGGAACAGTTAGGGAAGAGGTTCTGCTGAGTACTTTCCTTCCCCATGCCTGTCCTGTCATTTTTTCATGTATCGCCATCACATTTACTCATTGTCAACAATAAGTTGACAGGCGCAAATGCATCTTTTATAGGCAAAAAATAGAAAATTTACAAATAGTATAGTATCAATTTGCATTTAACAATTAAAATTTCATAAACCTATGACTTCATGTCTCTAGCAGTCTCTGCGCTACTCTCACAACCGCTTCACCGGTACTAAAGCCAGTGGAGATTGATCGAGAGCGCAACTAATGATATTAATGATAATAAAAAATAAATATTGAATATACGCCTACTATATTACGTCTACTATATAACATAACACGAGCCGTATTATTACTTTCACTTACGTATGTATATATATATATATATATATATAATATATATTAAGGGTAAGTATTGCGATCGTGAAAATTTTGGAATCTCAGTTTTCAACGGAAATACATGTTTTGAGGTCCCCTGAGTTCAAGTGTCGCAAGATGGTCTGTGTGTGTGTGTGTGTTAACAGTCTAGCTCATAAACGAAAAGTAGTAAGAAACTAATATTAAGTATTTAAGGTTTGTATATGGGCTGGATGTGACAGCAACTTTTTCGTTAAAATCGGCCACTTTATATGAACGCTGAAACACATTTTTACAATTTTCTCAACTTCCGGCTCTTAACGATTTTGATCAAACTCGGTGTATCATTGTATAATAAAGTGATCTTAATATCATTTAGGTCTTATCCCCGTTGATGTCACTTAACAGGGCTTAAATGCCCAATGTTCATATATGTCTTCCTCTAAAGTACCTTTAATATGGTTTATTTTAAAAAGTTAACCATTTCGGATTATTCAGAGTAACGAAAAAATGCTACATATAACTTTTGAATGAATTCGATAAATTAATAAAGGAGAAAAAAAAATAAAAATGCAGAAAAACCTGCGATGCTATAGACTGTAGCGCCTAAACGAATGTACCGATTTCAATGAAACTTCGCTAAAGTCATTTTCTTGATACCCTTTAAATTTATCTATATAACATACTTCAACGAAAAGAAGTTGCAAAAAAAGTTACGAGGGATGTTAAAATTAAATTCCGAATAACTCAAAAAGTATACGCTTTTTTGTTGATATTGTCCATGATTTTATAAAAGTTTATGAAATTTCCTAAAAAATCAAAAAAAAATCGTTAAAATCGGACAATTATGAGGAAAGATATGGTCTCTAGTTATTTTCCCTGAAGAGGTGAAAATTTGGATAAATTTAAAATATATTTTTTTAATTGTTGAGACTAAAAAAACCTTTTTTTCTACAGATATTTAATAAAGTGTCTTTTCTAAGAACATCTTTCTTAAGAAAGTAGTACCTAAATTTATACTTTTATTCTCAGTTCTATATTACAACACTGCAATCGCCACTTCTGGAATCAACTTACTCATTGTCTGCATAGATAACTTTTTCAACTAAAAATATCACTAAAATGACATAACTCAAAAATGTTGAAATTGGAGTTAGTCATTCTGTGGTTTATAAAAGCAGATGGAGTTACTAGATTTTGTATTGCCTGTCTTCCGTATATTAAATAGACATTTTGTAATTATAACGGTCTTAATGACTTGTTATCTGTAAGCTTTAAGCTTTAGCTCCGTTTAAAATGCACTTCAAAAATTTTTATAATACCCCAGCATTGCCAGAAAATAATTTCTATTCAAAGTAGATCGGTAAGTGAAAGTTGTGTGTTGCGCGCACCAGATTTTTTCTCCGGTGTAGGTCGCACATCCCGATACGTTTTGCGGACACCTCATGTCGAATCTAGATTCTACTGCTGATCCTGATTTATGTTTATGCCGAACAAGAGGTAAGCTCGTTAGTAAGGCAGCGCAATTACTCTTGTTGACATATTGACACCACTAAGAGCTAAAGTTCTTCCAGTTGAAGGCTAAAGGTGAGAGGTGCACATGGAGACTAGCTTCACTCGCTATAGGTCAGTGCGTACCTACTCGATGTACTATCTTTAGTAGTATGTCGACTGCCAACTGCAAAAGCCTGTAAGGAAAATTTTGATAGAAAATTAATTTTTGAGATTTTCTGCTCAATCTTGTCCTAGCGCATATTCTGATCCCACAATATTTTATTCAACATTTTTCTTACATTTTTAATTATTTGATTTACCAACCTCCTTGCAAGAAAGTATTATTTTCATTTTAATATTAGTTTAATTTTTTTTTGTCTAAATATTATGTAACTTCCACAATTCTCTATATCTTGTTTCAAAAGATTTAGAAATAGAGGAGTACAACCTTTTTAAATGATGGGAATGAATAATTAAGTTCTTGGATATTCAGATTACATAGCTGTCCTAGAAAGCAACCAAGAATACATAGAGAAACTTTTTAAAAAGACTCTGACAAGAAAAGCGGAGAAAATCGGCCTACAAGTACATGAAGATAAAACAAAATATATGAAAATAAGTCCCACCTCAATAACGGGTTCTTCTAGGTAGAAGGAAATCATTCCCTAGAGTAGAAAATTTAAACTCCACCATAAGTTTAAAGAATGACCAACAGCCAGAAATAGACCAGCGTATAATTGGCGTAAACAGACCTTTCTTTTCTTTTTCAAATGTATTAAAATCTCGGAAAAAAATATTAAAAACTAACGTTTCGTCGCGACTTTGCACCTCTTCTTCAGGGATAGAAGAAATTGGGGGAGTACAACGCTATAATAAAGCCAGTTCTGACATATGTCTACGAGACCTCAAAACTAACCAGCCCATTAGAAAGAATTATCGGAAAACTTGAGAGCAAGTTTCAGTGAATATAAGCATTGCTCTGATGACGGGAAAATTTTCACGAAACGTTAGAGGTGATAAATGTGAATGAAGGGATATGAAGAATATTGGAAGTTTTTTGCCTTAATTTTGAAAAAATATATAAACGTAGGCTTCCTAAAAAAAGAAAAATAAGAAGATCCTCTATATCTTTGTGTATCTTGTCCGTTCCAGCCCAGAAGAAGACGTGCAAAATCGGATCGAAACGTTAGTTTTTTAATAAAATAGTTTAGCCACTATTTAGTCTATTTATTACCGCCACCTCGGACCATATCCTTCCTTAATAATGCAATGGTCAACTATTAAATATTCAGAATATTTAAAGTTAATAATAAATATGATTTAATAGTTATTATTGCCTTGTAAGGTTTCCATGCAATTTGGTTTCCGACAAAAACAAACCTTGTCTGTAACTACCAAATTTTGATGTTATATTTTCGATACCCAACGATATTTAACATTGTAGACGAGTCATGATAGTAGTGTCTATAAGCATAGATGTTGTGCACAAAATATAAATCCAACTTCAATGACTTTGAATGAGTAATGATGTTTTTTTTCACTTTGCTAAAAAATCAATTTTTTTGACAAAGGTGGTTTTTTATGGTGGTTTTTAACTCCTCCCCAGGCGGATCTACAGGTGTAGGGGGGAGGAGGCTTTCGGGCTGAAGCTCCCCCCAAAATGGTAAAATATAACCATGTTTTACAGAAAAAATATTAAAGACTATCTCTTAAAGTATTCTTCTTCGTGTAATTACATTTAGTAGGACTTTAAGAACCACTTAAGCACTATTTCATATTGGTAGTTAATTTCTTTCCATTAAAAAAAATTAATTATCGTTATATATATTTTAAAAAAACTTTTCGGCAGAAGCCTCTCCCCCCCCAAAAAAAAATTAAATCCTGAATCCGCTAGTGATCACGGCCCCTTCATAATATACTGTAAATATAGAACGTGTAAAACTTAAAACCTCATTTTTCATACCTCTACCATCCATGCAGTAGCCATCTCCGTTATAAAGTTTCATGGACGCAATTTATATATATTTATTTAGAATAATTATTCTTATATATTGTGATTATTTCTATGATAACATTCGGCTCAAAACCTTTCAACTGTGAGCTCCAATCTTCCCCATTCATATCGTGATGTCTGGCCTGCGGAAGGATAAAAAGAGCCGGCAGACATAAAAAAAAGTTTTTTGTGTTTCTTCAAAGGACGGAAGAGATTACTAAAGGCGTCGATTAAGTCATTATCCGCTATTCAGATACTCAGGTAACAAAAGAATTCAGGATTTTTAGATTTCTTTTTGACGTGATTCAGCTTTAATTTTTTAAAAAATATTTTGTTGTTAAAGTTACACATACCTAAAACAATAACCGATTATGGCTTTGATTGAAAATAATATAAAATGCTTAATGGCGTCTGAGACATGGAGAAAAAAACAAATCTTACGCTATTCTCTGGTTTGAATATATTTTAAAACTAGAAAAAAAAAATAGACTTATGTGGTAAACAGTATACAAATGATATGTTAGAAAATGACCGAAATAATACAATAATTTAATAAAACTTTATCTTATTAATAAGAAATTTTATTGCTTTATATATTTTGGGATAAAATAAAGGTCCTATCTATTAATTATCCTATAATAAAAAATCGAGGGCCTCAATTTTTATAATATAAAAAATTTTAACACCTAATGAAAGGTGAAAAATCACAAATATTTTTAAAATTTCGAAAGGAGATCCAGTTTCTTTTTTTTTTCACGCGTAGGTTCTAGTATTAGTAATATCGGCATAACTTTTATAAGCTTTTGAAATCGACTAAATAGTTTGAAAAAAGTTTCCATGTATTACATAGTTGTTGAAATATAGTTGTGATGTCGTAATAACAAAATTGCGGAATTCATATAAAAAACCACCTTTGTCAAAATAATTGATTTTTCAGGTGAAAGTGAACAAAAAAACATCGTTACTCATTCAAAATTATTGATGTTGAATTTATATTTTGTACACAACAGCTATGCTTATACACACACTACTGTGTCTTCTGGAATTCCTTGCCATCTGAAATCCGCCATGCCTCCTCCTTGTCCTCATTTAAATGTCATCTCTACCAATTCCTTCTCACATCCCAAAATGACGTTATACAATAAAATAAATATTGTGAAACAGATTTTGACTGAGGTGAATGGTTGATAAAATTTATTGAGTCTTAATTTCAAAAATCAATCCATGCTTATTTTATTTTATTTTATTTTTTTCATTTAAATAATGTTTTTTTTATTTCGTTTTTTCTCAAAATGTTATTTTATTTTTACTTGTTTTAATTTAACTTCACTGAAGATACTGTATATATTCTTTAATATTTTAATGTAATTTTTGGCCAGATGTAGTTTTTATTTTTTTGTTCATATCTGTTATTCATAAGGGACTTTGTCCCAGAATAAAGTTTACTTTCTATCTATCTATCTACTAATATGACTTTCATCTACATTGTTGGGTATCGCAAATATAACATTAAAATTTGGTAGTTACGGACAAGAGATTTTTTTTTTTTTTTTTGGAAACCATAAGATCATAGATATCATTACCTTTAAATAATTTATTTATAATGAAAATAATTCTTTCTTTCGAGAAGGTTGGTAAATCAAAATATATAAAATGTTTAGTAAGAAAAATATTGAAAAACAATATTATGATTTAATAACTAGTCCTGTCATAGTTACAAGGAAATATATACAGTTTTCAACTTCAGTTAGGCAGTTACTTATTTCGATTCTCATCCCAACCTATTATATATTATCTATTATCATAACTCATTTTTCAACTTTGTCCAATCTTTCTATTCAAGGTGTCATTCGATTCAACTTCCCGAACCTAACAAATGTTGTATGCATTTTTAGGATTAACTAAACGGATTAGCCAGAAATCGGGAAAAAAAAGTTCCAAAATTTCCTGCCACAATATTCAGGTCTCGTTCTTATTTAACACGGATGTAGGTGACTCAATGTCTAATGTTATTTTGGTTATTTTGCCAGCGATAAACTCAGCAAAGTTTAAAGAAGTAGAGAGACGTTTTTGCATATTTCAATCGACTCCACAATCTCTTCGCTTCATCATAAATGAAAATTAAACACTTAAAAATTTTTAATTTTAATCGGTAATTTAGTTATGTGTCACCTAAACAAATAGCCGAATAACAAAGTTTTTATTATGACTATTGCGAAACCTTGACTTCTATAAGCCCCTCCATAAAAAATTTCAAAACAACTTCCCCCCACCTAATTTTATGAAATTAAATTTGGATCCCTCCCCCATAATACAAAATCCATCTCAAAAAAAAAAGGTTCTAAAATTTTAGCTATACATCCGTCAACGACGGGTACATCAGCAAGTATTAAAATAAATAAATAAAATGACGTAATCATTGGAAAATGATTGCTTTTGGGGATACATTTTTTCTTGGTACGTGCTTATACTTAGTAGGTTTATATCCTTAAAAATATAACATATTAAGCACATATGACTCACAGAAATAAATATGGACTAATGAAAAAAAAAAATAAAGAAATCCAATCCGATACTTGAAGAAGTAAAATAGAAAGAAATCTGGATTGATATGATTGCGCCTGCTATCTTTAGTTTTGTTTTAGAAACTGTCTTCGCAGAAAATGCTATCTTGGAATTGCGATAGCATTATCCAGAGATATGTTATCAGCTAAATAGGACCTATTGGAAAGTGTTGGCTTCCATAACAGGCGATCTAAGAAGCTGTGGACCAAACTACGTACTTAGCTCAATGGACCAGTGGTCTATTGTAAGGTGACAATAGGTCGTGTTTGTATAGTAAGCTCGCCAGAGGCCTATCAATGAACTAACGCAACTTTCGATAGTCGATTTGCATAAATCGATGTATCAACATAGTTCCGAGTGTCTTTACAACTGTCAGGTCGATTGTTGTTACTTCAACTGGCTTGGTATACGTTTGAGGACAGTTGCGGATCAAGTATTCTATTAGTAATCTTGAATAATACTTAGGTAAATATTATAGCTAACAATTAAATATTTCTGGAGCTCCCAAAATAACATCTTCAATACAATTTATATTAACAGAAACAGAAGAGAAGAATAGTTCAAAAGAAACTTATTTTTTAAAATTATACAAGACTTTAGCTAGACGCCATTAGCCAAAATTTTATATATATATTATTCCTAATAGTTATTTATCAAATTATTAACGTCCGCCTGAAACTTTGTTAATACCTTCATCTCATCGTAACCTACAACTTACAACTATCGAAAAAATTGGGGCGTTTTCGATCTGGATTTGAAAACGCCTTAATTCCAAGAATTTCCATAAATAAAATATTTGTAGGTTACGATGAGATGAAGCTATTTACGAAGTTTCAGACGGATGTTAATAATTCGTTAAAGAAGGGTCTGTACTTATAAAAAGGGCTACTAGTTTTTCATATCATTCGAGGTTCAAACATCACCTAAGTCTGCAAATCTACTCATATTTGCACCATATTTTGGGCTTATAAATGTTATTATGATTTGAAAATTATCTATTATTGTTACATTTAACTTACGTGTAATCGTTTCGCCCGACATAACGTCACCGCTGTCATGGAACCATTGCCTCCATGATTACAGTTCTCGAATGATTACAAGTTCCTCGAGTGTTCTCTTTTCGATGAGAAGGGCACTCGAAGCTGATGGGAACAGTGGCGGCCTTGTCTCACTGTATCGTGATCTAGGAGGTCCTCGGCTGTCAGCTGAGATCTCTAGGCAGCTATCGATTATTGTAAGGCCTCCTGAATTAATTTCTTTTTTTTTTATTCATATAACTCTATTGTTCGTTGAGACAACTAGGAAAAGTTTTTGCTAATGTCGGTTCGTGATCCTCGTTGGATATTGTTGCAGCTGATCAGATTAGATTGTGAATAAATGTATCTTAATCAGCCAAGGCAATATATATATTTTTTTTGCAACGAATAATCGTCAGCATGAGAAGTAGAATGGTATTCGATAATGCTGATGTTAAATAAAGTGATAATACATTCTAACGATTAATTTTTAAAAAGCATTATAGCTATATAGCAAGTCTTCTTAAAATATATTAAATCTATTATTATATTTAATTTATATTAATCCGTCTAATTATTCAATTGATCATTAGAAACAATAAATACTAATATTATTAGATTAAATTGAAATATTGTTTTAAATTTGAAACTAAATTAATTTTATTTTTTATTGTAGTCATCCTCTCGGGCCCCATATAATCTAGGCACGCTTCACTGAATATAGTCGCTTCTTAATAAAACGTTTTTTATTTTTTCATCATTCAAATTTATAACTGCATTAAATGATAAATACAATGAGTAAATATGAACAAGTAACATGACATGTACAACATGAAAAGAAACTACCCATTGGTAGCACTCCAATTATATTTCTATATTAGAAAGTCACTAGGCCATTTTCTTTTTAGAAGCCTCGGAGGGTTATCAGGAATAGAAGAGGAAGCAAGGTTGGACACAAGAGGGATGGTTCAGAAGTTTATTATGGAAGGACATGTATCTGGATTGAGTTAAATCAGAAACATATGGAACATTCAGGTCGTTGTGGATTATTTTATTTGTAACAAAGCAGAGAGCATTAAGGATTTTACGAAGGATTTTGGATTGTACGAATTGGATACGAGAGCTTTATAGAACTCCATAGCTCGATCCCGTAAGTCCTAATAGGCATTATTATAGTAATATATATGAGTCTTTTGTAAATAGTTGGAAGTTTAGAGCGTTTGTCTAGTAAGTGCTTCAGTAGTTGAAAACGTCGGGCGGTTTCTAGTCGTTTCAGTCTGGTATGGGGGTTCATTAATAAAAAGTAAATAAAAAATATAATTATTCCAAAAGCGTATGGTACCATTGCGATTCTATCAATCTGCTACTTTCGCCCAATGTAGCTAATGCTTAAGAGATTTCTTGCACTAACCGTGACGTTGTCATGTACGTCATATCCTGACGTTGTTATGTCTATAGTTTATTAGATATTTCAGTTGCTAATTAAGAAGGCTGATCAAATTGTCTACAGAGCTCATCTAATGGTGCGTATAGACATTTCAGTATGGAAAACTAAATGGTTGTTTCCCCCATTTCAGTTCTTTTGCCACCACTGTTCCACAGTGGTACCGAAATCCGATCTAGGAGGATAAAATTCGTTCAGCATTAGTTTCGATTGGAAATCACGTATTCGTCACTAATATATGCAAAGTACTATCAATATATTTTTTTAAATCTATTTATTGAATAATAATACAATGAGCCACTGCTTGAGGACTATAAGTAAACTATCAATATAAGAGTGTGAATGTGCTCTCTGAACACTATTATAAATATCTTTATATCAAACCAAACTTTCAACTGAAACTGAAATTATAAAAACCAACACGGTTAATCAAAATAGTGAGTTACCTACTAACAGAATTACAGAAAAAGAAATTCCCACAACGTTAATTGAAAAAAATAACAATAGCAACAATATTAAGCCAATAGAAAGTATAAATGGCTCATCGGCAACAATGAAAACCACTAAAGGAAAAAACACTCTACAAAACATTACTACAGACAAAAAGACCATTCTTAATACACCAGAGAAAAAAATAACTGATTTAAATAAAAAGGAAAAGATAATTGAAGAAAAAAATAACTTACAGCAAAAAACAAAACCGACCACAAAAGATATACTAGAACCCATCCGTGACTTATTAATGAAAAACAATTACCCTCTTCAATTTAAAGAAATTTGTCTATTATACGAAACAATTCAGATAGAAAAATTCTCATCAAACACACCTGATTTGATAAAACAATTCACAAAGGATAAAGAAGGGTTAATTAGGATGCTAACAGACATAAAGGGATTCGTAGATCATAGAGGTATAAAAATATGGTCAACAAAAATTTTGAAACTACTGAACGGAAATGACCTCACCGAGATCACACCAGGTGAGAAATTTTCGAAGATATCAACGGGCAACAGAGTCTTTAAAAAAGAAAAACTCAAACATGGTAAAAACGATTCAATGGAATTGTAATGGTTACTACCGACACATCGAGTACTTTAGAAAATTAATGACTGAAGAAAACCCTATTTGTTGTTGCTTACAAGAAACACACCTCAACGATAAGCAAATAGTAAAATTGCGAAATTACAAAATATTCAGAAAAGATAGACTGTCTGAAAGAACGTGGGGAGGAGTAGCCATGTTTATCTTAGAGAACATCTATTGCGAAGAACTACCACTACAAACTCAAATTGAAGCACAAGCTGTCAAGATATACTTAAACGAACCTTTGACAATCTGCAATATATACTTACCATCTTCACAGGAATTCACCGATACAGACATAGAGGGAATTGTAAACCAGCTTCCAAGACCTTTTCTAATGCTAGGAGACTTCAATGCCCACAGCACCTTATGGGGTTCGAAGCTTCCAGATTATAATCACAGAGGTAGAAATATCACAAAATTCCTTGAAAACAACACTTCAACAGTACTTCTAAACTCAGGGGATAACACTCATTTCAGCTCAAAAAATAATAATTTCTCCGCAATAGATTTAAGTTTCTCTGATGCAAGATACTCACCTAAAGTAAAAAATTGGAGTACTAAAAGCCATTTGTACGGAAGCGATCACTTCCCAATTATAATTGAAACATGGGGAAACAGTATTATTATGCCATCGAACACCAGATGGAAATATGAAAAAGCAAATTGGGAAGGTTATAAAAAATCGATTATCCAAGGCTTACGAACCATACCATATGGACAGAATTTAGAAGAGAAAATATTTTATTTTAACGAGTTAATTATTAACACAGCAAAAGAAACTATTCCTACAGTCAAAAATAATATGAAACCTCATGATGTACCGTGGTGGAATCACAATTGCAATGAAGCTATAAGAGCAAAGAAACGAGCCCTAAATCGATACAGAAGAAGTAGAACTGTTGAAAATGCAATCGAGTTCAAGAGACTGCGATCTATTGCAAACAGAATAATCAAAGAAAGCAAGAGAGCATCGTGGAAACAATATGTTTCTTCCATAAACTACCTTACCCCGACGAATGAGATATGGAACAAGATCAAGGCCATCAGAGGAATTAGGAAGCAAAACTTAATTTCAGGACTTAATATTGACGAACAGATCATAACGGATCCACAGGACATTGCTGAAGCCTTTGGAAAATATTTCAGAGAAATATCTTCCTCAAGCTGTAGCGATGACGCGATAAATGATCATGAAATGCATCAAAATTACATTTCTGGGCAGAGCCACTCTGCTGAATACAATAGACCATTTCGACTAGATGAACTAAATTCTTCGCTTAATAAGTGCAAAGGAAAATCAGCTCCTGGTCTCGATGAAATTCCAGGAGAGTTCATAAAGCAGCTACCAGAAGCAGGGAAAATATATCTTTTAAATATATATAACGAAATTTGGACAAGCAGAACATTTCCAACTAAGTGGAGGAAATCTGTCATAGTACCGATACCAAAAAAAGAAAAGAGCACCGTTCCCAAGGACTATCGGCCCATTTCCCTTATCTCATGCGTTTCCAAAATTCAAGAAAGGATGGTCAATATAAGATTGACTAGTATGCTGGAATGTAAGAATGTCCTTTATCCATACCAATTTGGCTTTAGGCCAAATCGTTCAACTATTGATTCTCTTTTATCATTAAGCTTAGAAGCGCAGGAAGCTTTTTCACACGGAGAACACTTAATATCAATATTTCTGGACCTTGAAAAAGCTTATGACACAATGGAAAGAGGACGTGTGTTGAAGATTTTGGAGGAACTAGGAATAGGAGGAAATATGTGGTATTACATTAAAAATTTTCTAACCAGTAGGGAATTTTCAGTAAGGGTAGGAAATACTTTCTCGTCAAACCATCGCTTACAAAGGGGTACCCCACAAGGATCTCCTCTTAGTTCGACCCTATTCCTTCTTGCGATTAATAGTATAGGGTCCATTATCAAGACCCCGACCAAATGTTTCCTATTTGCCGATGATATTGTTATCACAGCCAAAAGCAAATCTATTCCCTATATACAGTGGAGGCTGCAAGAAGTGATGGATAGAGTAAAAGATTGGACAAGGGAAACTGGATTTAAGATATCATCTTCGAAGTCTAAATGTTTACACATTTGTAGAAGTCGAAAGTGTCAGCAGAATAATCCACAAATATTTATAGAAGGTTCCTCAATTGAATATACAGAAAGTCACAAGTATCTAGGAATGATAGTTGATAAGAGACTGAATTGGATACAACATATTACATATTTGAGGGAAGAATGCACAAAAAGACTCGGAATTCTTAAATGTCTCTCACACTCTAGCTGGGGTGCCGATAGATGCACTCTAATAAAAATATACCAGTCTATAATACGCAGCAAAATAGACTATGGAGCGCAGATATATAGTACAACCAACAAAACAATATTGAGGATGTTAGATTCTATACACAATTCAGCCCTAAGAATATGCACTGGAGCGTTTCGAACTTCTCCAATCGACAGCATCTACGTTGAATCTGGAGAAACATCCTTAAACTTGAGACGAGAATACCTATCTCTGAAATACATTGCCAAATTGAAAGCATCTTCCTACCACCCATTAACTCCATATTTATTTTCAGAAGAATCAGAAAGAAACGGACTTAGAAATATAGAAAATAACATTTTTAAACAAGCAATTTACAATGCAACAACTAAAATAAACATGGATACGACCATTATAAGACCCATCCCAGAATTAAATATGCCGCGTTGGAAAAAAGATAGACCATTCATTAATAAATCTATGACTAAAATTGCAAAGGCATAACCGCTTGAAATACAAAAATATTTTTTAAAGCTAACGGAACAATATAAAAATTTCGATTTTATATATACGGATGCATCCAAAGAAGGAGGTAGCGTAGGATGTGCTTTAGCGAGTAAAGAGAAACAATTACTGTTTAAATTACCTGGAGAATGTTCAGTATTCACAGGAGAGGCCACTGCCATCATGAATGCTTTATATCTTATAAGCGAAACTGAAAAGAACTACTGGGTAATTGTGACGGACTCATACAGCGTTTTAACTGCCATTGACAATCCATATCCTAAAAACTCCATAATTAGGGAAATACTCAATATCTGGTGGGATCTAAAAAATAAAGGAATAACAGTTGTATTGGTATGGGTACCAGCTCATTGCGGAATTTTAGGAAATGAAAATGCTGACAATGCAGCCCATTTAGCAAGAAGTGGAGGAGAAGAAGAGGAAGTGACTAGAGTGAAATATATCACTTTAGAAGACTGGGTACACGAATTAAGAAAAAAACAACTGGCAGAGTGGGAAAAAGAGTGGAGGATCAAACAGTGTAAGCTGAAAGAAGTGAAACCCAATTGCGATAAATGGCTCACTGGCAACAGAAAGTCTAGGCGTGAAGAAATTATACTATGCCGCCTAAGGATTGGGCACTGCCAGTTCACTCATGGCTATCTTTTAAGAGGTCTAGAAGCTCCTACTTGCGAGAAATGTAACAATACACCGCAAACTGTGAAACACCTTCTAGTAGAATGTTCCCAATTCGAAAGGCTCAGAGAAAAAATAGAACTAGGAAAAACACTAAAAGAAATACTAAAAGACAATGAAGAAAGAGTCTCGATCGTGTTAAATTTTTTAAAAATTGTAAACTACTATAACAGAGTATAAATCATAGAAAACGCCAATGACCCTTTAGGGTAGAGGCGAGAAAAAGGAAAAAAAAAAAAAATATATATCTTTAATTGTAAAAGTTGTAATAATTCTGAATGATTATTAAGTTTAAAAAATAAATAAATACAAACAATTTTTTTTATAGTCATAATTAAGTCAACATAACTTCAATTTGTGGATAAAATATAAATCTAAAATCATAATTCATAAGAATTAATAAAAAAAAAAAAATTAGCAATAACATTACTAAAATTTTTTTTTTTTCGTACTCCTCATGTTTTTTCGAGCCAGGGGTGAGGGCGGGGTTAAAATGTCAGAGTTAATAATTCCACTGTAACCGGTACGCGAACTTGTACTTATTTTATTCTGTATAATTTCGGTTATTAAGTTGCAGAGCGACGCGAGGTGCTCTGCACGCGCGTTAGCCCGCTCGGCCACCCCGCACATATACTAAAAAGAAAATCGTAATGGAAGTATTCAAATTTATTTAATCTATTTCCTCAACCTTATAATCAACATCATTAGACAGCTCACTCTCTGGTTGAAGTCCCCTCCTAATCGTTTCCTAACTGCAATTTAAATTTCCCATTTATTTCCTTTGTTTTACTTTCCTTTTCTACACAATCTGAAAAAATATTTCCATTTTTCAAAACTCTATAACTCCGTAAAAATGTGTTCCTTAAAAATTTATTTGACGCAATTTGGCGCTATGCAGGTTCCCTTTCTAAGCACCCCTACTATATTATATCCTTTACTTTCCGCTCATTAGTTTTTCGAAGCGAACAAAAAACATTATTCGGCTTCTCTGTTCCCTCTAAATCTCAAGAAGAGTGTTATTATCAATTTTTAATACATTTAACAGTTTATGTTTTCTGAAATAATTTAAAAAAAATTGTGCTTACCGCGAAGCTGCGCAAAATTTCATGATGATTCCCTGAAAGAATATAAACAATTCTACAAAATGAAAAAACAAAATTGTATCGGCAGGAAACCGAAAAGGATATTTCAAAGACTATACAAGCGTTATTTATGTATTTCTATAAATTGTTTAAAGCGATTTTTAGAATGTAATAGTAACATAAACCTGGTTGAACCTAAATTAATACAGTGAAAAAGAAAGAAAGTTAATTAAATTATAAAAACCAGCCTTAACCAATAACGCATACATGTACTGATTTGAACTATAAATAAAGTAATGTTGGAACTATTTGTCAACTGGTGCGACTTTTTGAACCAGCTCGCCCAGACCTCTCTCTTATATATCCTACTGTGAGAGTTTAAACGAACTTTGAAATTTTACTAGGCCACTTTTTAGGTCACCAACTATCTATAAAAAAGATGATATATTACATTTATAATATTTTGGATGTGGTTTTTGTTCTCCTAGATCGGCAATCAGTCCTGCTGTACACTAGCGGATCCAAGATTTAATTTTGGGGGGGGCTTCAGCCCGACACATTTTTTTCATTTATATAATGATAATTAATTTGAAAAAAAAGAAGAAAGAAATGAACTGCCTATATGAAATGGTGTTTAAGTGATTCTTGAAGCCCTATTAAATGTAATTGTATTAAATGTAATGTAACACGAACAATAATACTTTAAGAGATAGTTTTTAATATTTTTTTCTGTAAAACATGGTTATATTTTACCGTTTTTTTGCCACTGTATCCGCCTGTGCCACTTTATGTCGGTTTCAAGAGATATCAAACAAGAAAGTTTGGATAAGCTTTAGTATTGCTGTTAATTAGACATTTGTTTACTGTTTGTGTTGCTTGATTGATGGTTGTATTTTATTGTAGATAAAGATATTCCCTCAATGTCTTGTGACATATCCCTTCAATGTCTTGTGAGATATCCCATCCCTGCCCTACCCCAAGGATGACCGCACACAGCACAGTGCGATGGCATTGTTCCCCGGTCAGTAGCGGAGTACTGTACACGATTTGCACGCTTCTTCTTATCGCTTTGTTTGTTCTCATGAATCGCCGCTTCTTCTAAAGCCTTCGGCATTCTTCTGGAGTTTCTTCTACGGTCCATCTTCAAGGTGTTTCGACATCGGTCGGCTTTGATCCGCGTTCGTCTCGCTCTAGCGGTCGCTTCTTGTTTACTTATCTGTTAGTGTACTTTATGAGCTTATTATTCAACAAGCACAGGGATGGTTAACTTTAGAATTGTTTGTTAGAATTGTCAGTTTCATGTATTTATATTAAGGAAAACTTTTATAATTGATATCATAGAGATTTTTAAAGGAAATAATTACTTCAACATTCACTTATTTAAACATTAAGAAATGAGGTATGTAATGCTAACCAATAAAATTTAATTATTTGTTTAAATATCATATGACTCTAACGCCTTACGTACGTTAAGTATCCATTTGTTCATCTGATGTATATATTAAAAAAATATATATTAGTAACAACGTTTCACTTTTTTATATTGCAGATTGGGCCACAAGTTGGAAAATTAAGATGAATGAAAAAAAAAAAAGTGTGCACATGGTATTCACTCTTAACCATAAACCTTCACCTGAAATATACTTTAATAACATTAAAATCCCAACATATGACGTAATTAGGTATTAAGGTTTTTACCTGGACAAAAGACTTACTTGGAGAACTCACATCAAACAAAAACGAATAGAATTAAACAGACGATACGGTCTTTTATCCAGATTACTTGACAGACGTTCAAAATTATCTTTAACTAACAAACAAATCCTTCATAAAGTTTTACTTAAACCTATTTGGACTTACGGCATAGAACTGTTGGGTTCTGCTAAAACTTCTAACATTAAAAAAGTTCAGTCCTTTCAGTCAAAAGTGTTTTATGTCGCAAATGATACACTACATAAAGACTTAAACGTACCTACAATTTTAGATACTGCAAAAGAGAACTACAATAACTTTCACCAAAGACTGACGTACAACATGAATCTCCTGACAGAAATTCTTCATCGTACAAGAAACCCGTACAGCCCACTACGACGATTACGTAGGCCTTGGCCAAGAGACCTGCTGATCTGATTTATATCCCGGACAGCATGGGAAGTTGTGAAGCTGCCAAAAAATTTACTCATTGTAAAGAAATTTGCAGATTGCAAATTTAATCAAATGTTCTACATTTTTGTTTCGTTAATAAATAAAATAATTTTTTACTTCATATATTTTCCGCAATATAACTGATATTTATTTATTTTATGGAGTATTAATACAGTCTGCCACACTAAAGGCCATTGATACTAGGGTTATAGTATTCATTCACACAATATAAAAAAGGAAAATAAATAAAAATAACCAAGTAAGAAGAGAAAGAAAAACTAGAAAATCATATATTTTATTTTTAAGATAAGAATTCCCTTGCACGACTACTTTCCTACTGACATAATTCACCATGAAATGAACGACTCTTTCGCCAACGAACGGCAATATACAACTTCATATCCGCAGTAGCTGTACTACCTCGCTGGTAGGGCCATTACTGCAAGACATCAAACGATACGAGCCTCATTTCCTAGATTGCGGGCAGTTAAGGTCTCTCATTCTTGACTTCCCTTCTGGTTACGAAGGATTGTTAGCCAATGATGTCTATGTAATACTCATCAAGTTTTTTTTTTCTTAAGGTATCATATTCTAATAATGATTATATTATTCTTTAATAAATTTCAATTCAATACCTTATAATCTGTGTCCATGTCGTTCAATGAAAGTGTCTTCGAAATTCCTTTTTATTGGACAATTTTTTTATTTGTGTTGCCGTGGACCATTCCCGTGGACCATTGTACTTCCGCTTGGAAGCTGTATTGAATGATGGATAGTTTGTTAAAGGTGAGAAGTTCTAAGCATTTCTTTTTTTTTTTTTTTTTTTTTTTTTTATTGATAAATATTACAATCTGTCTCAATAAAGGACATTTATAATAGAGTTCTGAGAGCGCATTCACACCATATTTACAAATAAAAAATAAATAAATAAAAAAAATAAGCTAACTTCAAATAATATAAAGCTACAAAAGAACAAAATAAAATATCATGGTGAGAAAAAAAAAAAAAAAAAAAGTAATGAAAATAAACATCTTAGACGCAGGCATACCTATTACACTATTTACAGTCGGCCATAGGAACTCCGAACCATACTTATCCCCCCACATGTGGAGGGAAAGGTAAGCATTAAAAAACAAAATAACATTTTTGTAAATTTTATAGTATTAAACTTTTGTTTAATTTTGAATGTTGATTGCGCCAACTTAGTAAATTCTGATGTTTAAAAAAATAGTATGGTGTACTGGAGTTTTTAAAAAATTGATTTATATTTTATGCAATTTACACCTACGCGGCTGCGCATCTAGCAAATTTGTTGTATTTGTATTGTCTTGGTGTATTTGCTTGATATGGTTTTTATTGGTATAGTATAGTAGGTCTCTTGGCCATTTTCTTCTTAATCTGCTTACTCAGGTAACAGGGAGCAGGAGATAGAAAGAACCAGAGGATTGGAGTGATTTTGGGTTGAAGAATGAAATGTAGTGTATTTGTCGTGGATGTAGGATTTTACTGTTGGGGTGTTTAAGTCGTTATGTATAGTAGTATTTGAAATGTACCAAGGTGCGTTAACAATTTTTCGTAAAATTTTTTATTGTGCTGTTTGTATTTTGTTTATGTGTGTTTGTTTTGCTGAACCCCAAAGTTCTGCTCCATATGTCCATATTGGTCTCAGTAAGGTGTTGTAGATCAGTCGCTTGTTTCGTAAGTTAAGTGAAGATCTGTAGTCTAGAAGATGTGAAAGTTGGCTATATCGTCTAGTAAGTTCTTGTCTTTTTAATTTCGTATGTATGTTCCAAGTAAGTCTTTTGTCTAAGTAGAGTCCAAGGTACCGTAAATAGTTCTTTGAAGGTACTGGATTATTGGCAATCGTTATCGAGTTTAATTTAGTTTTTATTATGAATATATTTGTTGCTTTTGCCGCCTTAACAAGCCTGTTCCATCTCTACCTGTCTTGGGATATTTCTTTATATTTAACTGCACGCAACTATATTGCACCTTTTTGTTGATTCTATCTATTCATCTGCTTGTTGGCCTTCCACGTGGTCTTTTGCCTTCTATTGAGGCATTCATTGTCATGTAGAGACTTCCAGACGGATTGCTACCAGCTACGTGGCCAGTTCATATTAATCTCCGTGCCTTCATATCATGAGATATTGATTGACCAGTTTCTATAAGTTCTTTACAGGTCTTTCTCCTCCATGTGTTAGTACTCTGATCCCTGATCGCTCCGGTTATCGTACGGATAATTTTCCTCTCAAATCTTTCAACACTTTTTTCTAGGGTGCTGGTTAGTGTCCAGGCCTCACAGCCATATATTAGAAATGGCTTTATCATGTACACCCTTAGTTTGAGATTTCTTGAGATTTTTCGGGATTTCAATACCTTTGAGAGGGATAAGAAAGCTCTGTTTGCGCTAGTTATACGCTGGTCTATTTCTGCCCGTTGGTCATTCATTGAGGTTATTGTGGAGCCGAGGTATTTGAATTTTTCTACTCTCGGAAATAATTTTCGTTCTACGCAGATCCTGTTATTGGAGTGGAATTTTGGGCTTATTATCATGTATTTTGTTTTTCTTTATTTGCTGTTATTATAAAACTATAAATTAATAATCATTTATTAGTAAAGTAAAGATGATAGGGTCGAATCCCGGCCTCTACTACTCAGTACGACCTTTATCCTCTTAATTAAGTGAGGCCTATAAGTTGGAACAACTACAGAACAGTCTAGTAAAAAACAACAACTAAGAGGTGTGCTTTAGACCACACGATAGAAATGAAAACATCAACAACTGAAGGTTAATAATATGAAATATAAATTATAAATAATAGCTAATTATTAAGTGGATAAAATGCTGAACATTTCCCTCGTTTACAGTATGCATGTCCGACTTTTAGTTTTTGAGATATTTTAATCCATATCTTCCATAAAACTCGTTATCATTTGGTTTTCAACACTATTTTTTCCTTTTCGCCTCTCTAACACGGCGTCGCGTTAAGATAAAATTGTGAATAATAGCCCATTACAGAGACGATGAAATGCTAAACAAGTCCCTCCGATCCAATTTGTAGTTTCTGAGATATTTTAATTCAGTGCAACGGTTGAAAGCAATGTAAAAATATTAATATTTATAAAGTATTGTTGAACCTTGAGGAACAATCACTAAATTATGGCTTTTGAAGATGATGTTTCCATATCGGTCGCAAGAAACTACATCGTATACGTCTTGCCTGACATCCTAGGTCAATAGAAAGTGTGCAAAATGTTCTCTCACGACCCAGAACATTCGCTTATGAAGAATTCTAAACAGTTGTATGTCGATGGATATCGTGAGCGGTCCCGTACACGTTTATGGAAATTACTGAAGGCATTAGTGTTCAATGTTTAACACTCAATGGCTGTAGTATACAAACAGTAAAAAGGAAAAGGAGTCAGTTGCGTGATCACATGACAATGTATCTTTTAGTTCTGTTTTTTTTCTCTTTCATTTCCTTATAGTTTTTTTTTTAACAAATTCCTTCCGGTTGTAATGTTTATGAAGTATGCATATGCATTTAGATTTATATTGTATAAAAATTCTTGTATGTATGTTAGCTTATTATTTTTTTCTATTAATGCCCTCCAATAAGGCACAATATATTAATTTTCAAATAAAAAAAAAAATAAAAAAAATAAAATTCTAGTTTTACTTCGTAAGCTTGTAATAAATGCAATCGATCATCATTGCGCTTTTTACAACCAATAATTTAAATACATTAACAATAGTTGTTAGTCATTAATGTATTTTTGTTTTTAAATTGATTAATTGTCACTCGTTAACAACTGTCGCAATCATTGTCATGATGTGAACTATTGTATTTATTTTGCTTTTGAAGTATTTCACACTTTAAGATATACGTCTCTTCACAGTAAATTTTTTTAGTTTGTTTGATTCTATGAAGGGGAAATAAAAACTATAAAGTTTATTTGTTTTTCATATTAAATTTAGGTTTATATTCAATT